ATTCCAGGAACACTTCACTCAGCCTCCACCTGCACCCGTTCAACAAAACTTTAGGCCGCCAGTTCAGCCGTTCAGGCAACCGGAGTTCACCCAACCACCACCGGTAATCGAGCAGACCACCCAGGAAAGATTTACCCAACCCCCACCAACGCCGACTCGGCAAGAGTTCACCCAGCCTCCGGTAGTGCCTGTTCAGCAGCAGTTCAGGCAACCTGAGTTCACCCAACCACCATCAGTGATTCAGCAGACCACCCAGGAGCGATTTACGCAACCTCCACCATCGCCTACTCGGCAAGTGTTCACCCAACCTCCGGTAGTGCCTGCTCAGCAGCAATTTAGGGAACCCGAACAAACGGAACCTGTTCAGGAGCAGTTCACCCAGCCACCACCGGTAACTTTTCAGGAACGGTTTACCCAGCCGCCAGTAGTGCCTACTCAGGCTCCCTTCCAACCTCAGATTGTGCAGCAAAGGCAACCCCAGAATTTCCCTGAGCCACCACCGATGCCTGACCAGGAATTTAACCCCGTCCCGGAACAAACATTCCAACAACCGCAGCCGCTTGTGCAGCGACCGTTTGTGCAGTTTGAACTGCCGGCTCCTACCACGATCAGGACAACTGTTCCTACCACAACCACTACCACTACCACTCCAGCTCCTACGACTACGATATTTACCACAACAGTTACAGAAGAGCCTCCTCAGGAAGAGAGGATGGAAGTTCCACAAGTGGAGGAGTGAGTGGTCTCAATCGTCTCCATTTACAAGAGCCTACTATCAGCTCTTCTGCACCTACACCACATGCACACCGTCTGTCGCCATCTGCACGCACACCCTGGCATGCACATCCTTTAACTTTTCCTGCACTCCTTTCTACTAATCGCCATTTCACTAAAATCTGCCTAACACTTGCATGCTTTTCACATAATAGTTAATGGTGCAAATGCACGCCATATGCCAAAAAATTTTAGACCACCACCGACTCGTGCACCTGTACCACCTCGCACACCTCGTCCATTATCACCTTCTCGTAGAGCTTTTCTCAATCGACAAGCCACAGCGTCAGTGAAGGAAAATTAGTTATACCTGGGTGGTGGCGGATGATAGAAACATCATTTTTGTAACAAGACGAAATGAAATTCAAAAATGTTAATTTCTTGGTGTAACGGGGAAACCCAGGACTAGCTGACAACTTAGCGCAACGTAAATAAGATTATGTAAATGAGGGAA